CACATCGCCTGCGGTTTGTGACGTAACACCGTATGTACTCCACGGGCTATAAGTTTCAGGCCGTTGGTCGAGTATTGATTGAGGTCTGGCATGTTCCAGTGAAGAGAGGAACTAGGAAGGCGTATCGGATAGATTCCATTGCAAAAGAGGAATACGTTCGCATTTTAACGATGTTTTGCAACTCGCTGTTTTAAACTAGGCTCGCGGAGTAGCGTTCGGCCTTCAGTAGCCGGCTAAGAAATCCCCCCCAACCTCATTGAACGTGAGGTTTGAAACCCTGTGTGCATGCCCTGGTTCCTGGACCTCGTCCCGTGACGGGTGAATCCAGACCACGCCCACACATTCTACTTCTTTCAGATTTATACAATGATCATAATAAATAGTACAGTGGAACCTCGATATAATGCGGGTTTCGGGGGACAGCTTAACATTTATTTAATATAAAACATGTAATCGTATTGGAGGACATGATCACAGCCGCTGTATGAAGAGGCTCCACTGTAATAATAATTTGTGACGGAACTGGGTGATTTTTATGGGTAGGCCTGTGTTTCGTTAATAGGGCTTTGCAGATTCTCGTTAATTGATAGTTGGATATATCTTGAAAATTCGCTTAGGCGCCATGTTTGTAACTCTTATTACTTACACTATAAAAGAAAATCTTACTACAAAATTACTTAGATCAATTTCTCCACAGACATAAAACGACCACATTTCATTGGTGCATGAAAATACCGTCTGTCTTTTATATCCTTATAATTAAATTATTCAAATTCTGTTTGCAGTCCGTAAGATAAGGAACCTATTACTGTTTTTATTATCAAATTCCTCTGCATATTTTAGATTTTAATTCCTGTGACAGTGTAGGCAAGCGTGTTTGTTTTGAGAGCATTCTCTGTTTCCGGTTCCTCCCAGCCCTCGGAATTTCATCCCAGAATCCGGGAACTTAACGAGTTTTATTGCCGCGATGGAATTATCGTTTCAGATATTAGAGAGACTAACGAACTATAATTGGATAGCGCTCGGCTCAGTAAGCAAACATGAATTGATCATGTGACTCGGTGTCAGTTGGTTCATACCACCGTTGCCAAGTTTTGACTTAAATAATTAGAGCCGAACTATGATTGCTTTAGGGGCGAAGCCTCACATTGCCTGTAACATGTGAAAGTTAGTCCCTTCGGCCTTAAATTCACGTTCGCTTTTTGTATAATCACATACACAGGGTGTCCCGAAAATTTTTACACATAAGTTTTATATTCCGTATTATAATGTGATACATTATTTTTAAAATGTAATTAAACTTGATTTCGAGGACTCCTCTTGAACCTCGCACTTGCGAACCGGAAGTGTTGTTCAGGAGGAAACGAAAGGCCTCCGAAAAGTTCCACCAGCCATTTTAATGAAATTGACTATGGACTTAGCTGCAACTCAGGAAGTCTCATCATATATCTTGTTTGCCGTAGCTATAACCCTGACCCCGTGTGCACAAGTCTCCGTTCTTTCTGTGGTTCTGGTCCATTAGCTCTTAGTATCAGCTCAGACTGTGGCCGGAGCCAGCGTTCTCCTATCTGGCACTGCAGTGCCCAAAATACGTCTTCGTTCCTGTCATCGGTGAAGTTGCGAGTTTGAGGTGGGAGCTGTTATTTTGTTTCTTATGATTGATGATGGCAGGCGAGCACTGTTCGTGAAAGCATAAATATGATTCCGCAGAATATACATTAGTCATGTTTTATATATTGAAAGTTAACAAACATGGCATTTGTATTTCGATCTTTAAGTCCTGCAGTTTGTGATTCTGCTTTGAACGCAGTCATATAACGTCGTGAACATGTATATTATTAAAAATGAACGTGAAATAGTTTTTGGTTATCGGTATTACATACAAATAGTTGTTACACAGAACAAGAGACAAAAACTTCAAACTAAAGAGATTGGTTTCGCATAAAAACATTGCAGATGAACACGCCGCCCTGTATCAATCGACCGAAGTCAGCTTTTACATCTGGATGGCTTACTTGGAGCTGGAACGCAGGGCGGAATCAATGTTGGCTGCATTTCCTTAATGGTCCTCATGGTATACGATGCGATGAGAATGGCCGCGCAGGCTC